ATGGTGATGCTACAGAGCAAGGTTTGCATGAGACCAGGAGTTAGAGGAGGTCAGAGCCAGCCTGCTTCGGATGTGGGCACTGCACGAGTCAACTTGAGTTTCTGTGTCCTTGCAAATGAAGTGACGCTGGTTAGTAATTTAGTCCCTATTGCCTGAGGAGGGTGGTACCTTTCTGAAGTTCTGCCGCTGACACGGATTCAGTTTGTGCACTTTACTGATTTCCTACATGCAAGTTGCATAAAGTATATGCAGTCATCTGCTATTCCTGCATCACCATGGCTACTGCAAAGGTTTCAAGCTGTTTGCCACTCTCTTCCAGCGTTGTTTCTAAAAATGGATTCTTTTCTTACAACAGTCGACTATCTTCCAAATGGACTGTACACTATCTCTGATAGTGAGTGAGGAAACCCATCGTTGGCTTCAGGTGTTTCTCTTCCACTACAATCCAAAGTTCTTTACAAACAGTTCACCATCCACAGCCAGAGCCCACTGTTCTTATTCCTTGGAATGGCCTACACACATTTGTTTGTTTGTTTTTATGTATTCACCATAGCTGTCTTCAGACACACCAGAAGAGGGCATCAGACCTCATTGCAGATGGTTGTGAGCCACCATGTGGTTGCTGGGAATTGAACTCAGGATCTCTGGAAGAGCAATCAGTGCTCTTAACCACTGAGCCATCTCTCTAGCCCCATTTGCCCCCTTTTCAAAGTTACCAGGCTCTAATGTGTCTCCACACTTGCTTTGTTAAATCTTGCCTGAGTTGTTTCATCCCCTTAAAGTGTTTAGACTTTGATCAAGATTCCCAGAGTGACCACTGTGGATGTGTCTCATTGTCTTTGTGTCTTAGATTGGAAGATAGAAATCTCCATTTAAAATGTTACCTACCTACAGTTAGTCCCAACACTCTGGAGGCATAAGCAGGCTGATCTCTTGTGAGTTCAAGACTAGCCTGTTCTACAGAGGGAGTTCCTGACAAATCCTACAGAAGATTTCTGAGAAATTCTGTCACAGAAAAAGAAAAAAGAAAAAAGAAATTTACCTATTTACCTAGGTAGAAGTTGGAAAAATAACAAAACCAAAAAGTTGCCTAAGGAGGGAACAGTTGATTCTGGCTTACAAGAAACAGTTCATCATGACAGGAGCTTGAAGCAGCTGGTCGCAGCACATCCACAGTCAAGAAACAGCAACGAATGTGTCTTAGTGTTCAACTCACTTTCTCCATTTTTATATAGTCTACAATTCCCTGCCCAAAAGTAGTCCCACATACAATCAAAACAGGTCTCCGTATCCCAACTAATATAATCAATATAACCCCCCACAGGCAAGCCCAGGGGCCCATGTCCGGAATGATTCTGTCGAATTGACAATGAACACTACGACGAATATCGTCTTAAGAACTCACAGCTCTTATGTTTGGCACCTTCAGTTTCAACCTCTCAAACACACGGAATGCTTGAGATGTTGAGAGGAAATAGAAGTCATACTTAATTGCCATCAAAAACAGCTCCTAGCCTAGGGATCCTTAGAACAGAACCAAGAGAAAGTGACTGTGGTTGGGTCAGGATCAAGTCAGGCAGGCAGACCAGCAACAGTTCCTTCAATTCCTTGCTCATCTCCCTGTCTCTGTCAGGGGTGCACAAGCATGCACAAACACTAGAAGCCCAAGACTGATTTCAGATGTCTAATTTTCCAACTTACTCTTTAAGGCAGACCTTCTCAATCGAGCCCAGAGGTCACCCATTTGGCTGGTTTTTCTAGCCAGCTGCCTTGGGGATCCTTGTCCTATTTTCAGAGGCTACCACTGCTTAAGTTCAATTTTTTTTTTTATTGGAGGATAAGACTGTGCTCAGTATTAAATTAAGGACGGCACCCATGGTGAACAGTTAAGCATTTACTGAATAGCAGTCATAACTAGTTTTAGTCCAAATGTGTGCCCATATTTTACCATCTGTAGAAATGAGAGATGTAAACACAATCCAATATTTTATGCTGATGGCTCTAATATGGTAGCATTTGTGATGTTTGTAAACATCACAGGAACAGACACAGGAGCCAGGATTTATGCTCAGAATTGTGTGAATCATGCCCGTGGACTCCAGATTTGTTGCTCCACAGCAGAGAGGCACGGAGAGAAGGGATTTCTAAGATAGGTTGCCTGAGATGAGCAGTAACCTCGGCTTTGTGCAGTACATTCTCTGGGACGTTGTGTGGAAATGAGTGACTTCCTATTGCAGTAAGATCTTCTGTAAAAGTCACAAGAGGTGCATATTTGATGTGTGTGGAGAAGTTTGACAGGATAATGTCAGTGGTGTATCTCACCCAAACATGGAGAGAAACTGATGGATCTCATCGGTGACACATGCCATACCTAAATGCATTGAATGAATAGACGGCTGTGGTTTCCTAGGCTACCTCAGATGCTTAGACTGAATCAAGCCTGGCTGCTCTTTGGGTCTCTCTCCTCTGGTTCTACATTACAGCAAAGCCTTTGCTTCTCTAGCCCTGGCATGGTGGCCTCTCCTGGCTCTCCTTGGTGTATTGCCAGTATCAGTGCTTCTTGGAACCAGCTAGATGTTGGTTCTGCTTTCTACAGTCTTTGGACTATGCTCCTTTTCTTGGAGGTTTATGTTCCCTGGGGACTCTATACCAGCAAGCTTGCCACTGCACCCCAGAGTGGGAGGGGGAAACTGTATTTTACTTCATTATTAAGGTTTTTTCCCCTTTGAGGTCTATGGTTCTTCCAATTTAATGATCTTTCCCAACATCAATTAATCTCTTTTTTGCAATGAGTTTACTTTCTCTAGTTAATTTTCCTGCCTCGTTAAGCTCAAAGGTAGCCTCACCAATAGAAACCTGTAGTCGTTCGAGTCTTCCCTAAGCTATGTTCTCCCCATCTTTACCTCCCGCAACCTGACAGTTCAGGAATATATTTATCAGACATTGTCTCTCAGTTTCTCTAGCCAGACTTTCCAGATTGAGAAGGACTCCTCATGGGTTCCTCTCCAACTCCACAGGCTTCCTTTCTAACACAATCGTATTTAGTGGTATATGATGACTGTGTCTAACAGTAGGCCCTCAGTAAAAATGCAGGGAGCAGAGTTCAAACTCCAGTCATACCACACAGCTGGTGCTCTGTTTACGATCAACCTGCCAGACCACTCTGACTTTTACTTTCCTCACCTGTAAAATGGGGATAATAATGTCAATGCAAAGAGAATGGTGTCACTGAATGAGTGAACCAATGAAAGACATGTCACAGGACTTTTTTTGCTTCTGATGGATTCTCATGAGGCTTGTCATCTTAGTTAGACACAACGGAAATATCAGTTTATTAACTCAGGAGATTGAGTTTCTACTGAGGAAGGACCACTGAGTCTTCCTCCTACCTTCTCTCTTGTCAGGCAGGTAGGTGTCTTAACCAACTAAGGGTGAACTGTCCCACCTTCCCTTACAATGGGCTTTTTCTCTCCCCGAGTGATGCAGCTATAGGCCAGATTAGACCAGATTAAAAATGAATAAAGACAGGTTTACTAGGAAGCAGCTCTTAGATAGAGGTCAGTGAAGTCATGCATCCAGGCTAAAGCAAGGGAGTTTTATAGAGCTTGGGCAAAGAGTGAGGATGTGCCAGCAAGGAGCTAGAATTGTTTCCATAACATGGACAAAAACTGAGCCCCTGGGCAAGCACTCTTGGGCAAGTTGCCAGAAATGTGGAAATGAGGAATGACGACAGGTTAGCCCAGAGTTTTCTCTGAGCCAAGTGATCCAGGAAGTTTTCCCTGTGCAAGTGGTTAGAAGAAGCAGGACAGATGGGATTTCCCAGCTTGTACAAGGCAAGCAGGGGTTTCAGCCTAATTTCTTACTATCACTCCTGGTGACCTCATTATCCTTAGGACCCTGATTTCTACCCCAAGTCGCCGTTAAGCTGAAAGGTACTTCTTTCCAACTGTTCTTACTATCCTGGGTTAGTAGAACACAGTGGGTTGCCCAGCATCTCACTCTGTGTCCCAGTGCCTTCTCTTACTGCCTCCATTCCTGTAGCTGTGATAGAGAATACTCTGACAAATGCAGCTTGAGGGAGAACGGGCTTGGTTTTGCTCACAGTTCAAGATACAGTCCATTATGATTGGGAAGTCAAGTCAGCAGAACCTTGATGAAACTATCTCATCACACCCATAGTAAGGAAACGGGTTGGGGAGTGAATGCAAACCTTTTTACATTATCCAGGATCTATGGCTTAAATTAGCTTCCCCACATTCAATTGTCATAATAAAGATATTGCCCCCCCCCATGTATGGCTTGAGTCCCGTCTCCCAGATGGTTCTAGATACCGTGTAGGTGACAGTGGGAAGCAACCGTCACGATTACCCAGTGGTCTCCTGCTCCACAGCCTCAGAGTGGCTTCCTTGTCTCTGCTAAGACACTGAAGATTGGCTGACAAAGAACCCAATGCAGTTTCTCAATCTCTAGAGACTGATGGCACTAATGACAAAAAATATATATATATGGCTTAAAGAGAAGGCTGGTACAGAGTCATTTAGATCTGTGTTGACTTCTGATATAATCTATCTTCTTAGCTATTAATAGGGAGAAAGTAAATGAAAAAAAACTGAACAGAACTATGAAAAACTCAAAATGACTCTCCATTTTTAAAGGTAACATAATAGTATGTCAAATATCAAAGCATGTCCATTCTTGAAACTATAAACGTACAACTATGTAAGTGAACTTAATTTAAATTATGCAATCATGGAGTCAGAGTGGATAGTGATATCCGTGTGAGGATTCCGATTTATTTTATCATTTTTAAAAGTTGGATCGACTTACCAACTCTCGCTCTCTGCCACCATTTAAAAATGTTATTTCTCTCTCTCTCTCTCTGTCTTTTGAATGATCCCACATGGTCGGCAATGAAATCTCCTGAGACATGTTTCTCCTGCAAAAGTGATGCTTTTCTTTGGCTATTTGCAATTCCCTTGACAACATGTGTTACATTACAGCCTCACTGTCAGGAATGAGGAAAGAGGAGACTCTTCGGGGAGACCCCCACACACCACCAAAATGGAGAGCATCCAGGTCCTAGAGGAATGGTGAGTTTCGGGACAGGGACAGTCATTTCTGTGTTTAAACGCTACGTAGGTCCAGTTGGTGCCAAAGCACCATCTCCTTGTGGTCCTCTCACAAATGGTTCTGTGAAATGAAAGGTAACTCAGCCTGGGAGGTCTTTTCTGTGATGACAATAACTTTTCACTGGGTTTCCAAGCTGGCACATTGTTTAAATTGATCTTTCTCTGTTAGTAAATAAAGATTATTGTATGAACTATCACAGAAAAGCCTTAATTTTACTTTTGTTGGCTGAAAATACTTCTTGCGCATTGATCCGTTTGGCCAGTATACAGGTCTGTGTACCATGTTCACGCTCAGTGGACAGGAAAGTCTGCATGGGACTTGAATACCCTGGAACTGGAGTTACACAACAGTTTGTTCATGGCCATTTGGGTACTGAGCATTGAACCTGGGTCCTCTGGAAGGACACCCTGCGTGCTCTTAACTGCTGAGCTATTCCTCCAGCTCCACTGAAAAGATTTTAAAATTTGTCTTCATTTTATAAGAGAAGAATCTCAACAACACATATACACATACATATGCACACATGACACAAAGATGCACAAATACTTATGCACATGCACACACATGCACAGGTACAAACACTCTGGAGACCAAAATCAGCCAGTAAAAACACCCAGCTAGCCAGCTCCTGGTTTTGTAACCATCAGAACAGACTTCATCTAAGTCTTTCTAAAATGAGAAATTGGAAAGCAATTTTAGAGGATAAAACTTATTTTGAGTTGATGGGTCACATAATTATAAATGCATCCTTTTTGCTTTTTATAGAAATTTTAATATTTGAATATGAGTTTCATTGTGATGTTAAACATTTTTACATCTAATTTTTTTATTGAGAGAGAGAAAATGTGTGTGTGAGTGTGTGTGTGAGTGTGTGTGTGAGTGTGTGTGTGTTATATGAATGTGTGTGTGCACATGTGTGTGGGCATGCTCTCCCATGTGTGTATTATAGATATGTGTGTGTGTATGTGTGAGTGTGTGTGTGTGTTATATGGATGTGTATGTGCACATGTGTGTGGGCATGCTCTCCCATGTGTGTATTATGGATATGTGTGTATGTGAGTGTGTGTGTCTGTGTATGTGTG